CTCCAGAGCCTTTCACAATCTCCTCTGGTGCAGTGGGGCAGTCCTGGCTGCTTCTCGGGGTCCCAGGTCTCAATTTCCAGCAGTCACCAAAAGCCAACACAGCTTTTCCTGTTGGGTCCACTGGTCAGTTTGCTGCATTAAAGGGGCAGGATTTGAAGCCTCCCATTATCAGCCTTCACAGTCTCAGCACGACTTTAAATCCTCCAGCCGCACTGTCTTGGTTAATAAGAATCATTATCCATTTGTCTGGCCCTCTCCATGTTGTCATATTCTAGCATCTAATATGATTTCTCTGGAGAGACTCTCTGCCCAATCCCCTAGCAAGCTGCCATTTTAGGATCTCCTATATAATCTGTAGTATAATTTCATATTAGGGGTTGTAATGCCTCCTGCCTTGCCATTGTTACTCAGGATTACCTCTGCTATTCTAGTCTCTTTTGCTTCCAGATGAGTTTGAGGAATATTTTATCTAGATTTGTGAGGTACGCTAATGGTGTTTTGCTTGGGGTTGCATTAAATCTGTATAACAATTTTGGGAGTAAGGCCATTTCCATTATGTTGGTTTTTCCTATCCAAGAGCAAGGAATATCTTTCTATTTTCTGAGTTTCTCTTCAATTTCTTTTTTCAGAGTACTTTAATTTTTCAGGGTATATATCTTTTACTTCCTTGTTAGATTGATTCTTGTTTCATTTTTAAGATTTTATTGTGAAGGGTGTGATTTCCCTAATTTCCCTCTCATTGAATTGGTCATTTTTGTATAGGAATAGTATTGATTTTTGAGTGTTGACTTTGTATTCAGCTAGGCTACTGAGTTTGGTTATTAAATCTAGAAGTGTTTTGGTGGAGTTTTTGGGGTCTTCTATGTAGAGTATCATGTCATTTGTAAATAATGATAATTTCACTTCTTCCTTTCCTATCTTTATTTTTTTTTTATTTCTCTTGCTTGTCTAGTTGCTCTGGCTAATGTTTCCAGAACTGTATTGAATAGGAGTGGTGATAGTCGATATCTTTGTCTTGTTCATGGAAAGCTTTCCATTCTTGTTCATTTAGTACTATGTTGGCTATTGATTTGTCATAGATAGCTTTTATTAGATTGAGGCAAAGTCCATCTATTCCAAATTTCTACAGTTTTTATCATGAATGAGTGTTGAACTTTATCAAAAGCTTTTTCTGCATCTGTTGAGATAATCGTGATTTTTGTCTTTGGCTCTGTTGTTGTTATGGTGTATTACTTTTATTGATTTGCATATGTGGAACCACCCCTACATTCCTGGGATGAATCCTGAGGATTTGTGGCATTCTGTTTGCTAGTATTTTACTGAGGATTTTTGCAATTATGTTTATGAAGGAGATTGGACTGTAGTTCTCCTTTTTGGTTGAGTCTTTCTCTGGTTTTGGTATCAGGGTCATACTTTACTCCAGGAGTGAGTTAGGGAGAATCACTTCCCTTTTAATTTCACTGTAGAATTTAAGGAGTACTGGCATTAAATCTTCCCTAAATTTCTTGTAGAATTCAGATGTGAATCCATCAGGACTCGGGCTTTCGGGCTTTTTTTTTTTTTGGTAAGTTTTTAATTACATTTTCAATTTTATTAACTGATATTGGGCTATTGTATCTTCTTGATCCAGCTTTGGTAATTCATATGTTTTAGGAACCTGTCCATTTCTTCAGTGTTTTTCATCCTACGTGAGTAAAAATTTTCAAAGTAGGTATTGATGATCTCCTAAATTTCCACAGGATCTGTAATGATTTTATCCTTTTCATTCCTTAAAGTACGAATTAGTGTTTTTTCTTTTTTTTTTATAAGGTTGGCTAGTGGTTTATCAATTTTATTTATTCTTTCAAAGAACCAACTCTCTCATACATTCTTTATATTGTTTTCTTAGTCTCAATTGCATTCATTTATATTCTAATCTTTATAATTTCCTCTCTTCTTTTGGCTTTGGGCTTGACTTTTTCTAAAAGTTTGATGTGCAGCATTAAGTTGTTTATTTGTGCTCAATCCATTTTCCTATGTGAGAATTCACCATTATAAATTTTCCTCTTAAGGCTTCTTTCATTGTATTTCACCAGTTCCAGTAAGTTGTATTTGCATTTTTGTTTGACTGCAGATATTGTTTAATTTCTTCTTTAATTTCACCTATGACCCATTGGTTGTTCAGGAGTCTGTTATTTAATTTCCATTTATGTATGGAGTTTTGTGGTTTCTTTTGTTATTAATTTCCAATTTCACTGTACTATGGTCAGATAATATGTATGAGATAATTTCAATTTCTTTGCATTTACTTAAGCATGTTTGATGGGCTAGTGTGTAGCCTATTTTAGAAAATATTCCAAGTGCAAACTTAAAATAATGTGTATTCTGATGTTAATGGTGGAACACTCTGTAAACATCTACTAAGTTCATTTATTCACAAGTTTAATTCAGTTCTTTCTTTGCTGATTTTTTTCATCTAGTTGATCTGTTTGTGACAATGGGGTGTAATGTACCCCCATTACAATTGTACTATTGCTTAATTTATTTGCTTATTAATGCTTATTAATATTTATTTGTCTTATATAGATGGGTATACATATATTTGGTGCATACATATTTATGATTCTTATCTCTTACTCTTGAAGTTTCCCACTGACAGTATGTAGTGACCTTCTTTATCTCGTTTGATCATTTTTGATTTGAAATTCACATTGTCTAGAAGCAGAATAGCTACCCTTGCTTTTTTTCTGGGTTCCTGTCACGTGGAGTATTGTTTTCTATCTTTTGACTTTCAGTCTATGGATTTCCTTTTGAATTAAATATGTCTCTTGTATACAGCACAGTGTTGGATTTTGGTACTTGATCCACCCTGCAGTCAGTTTCTTTTTATTGGTGAACTGAGGCCATTTACATTGATGGTTATAACTGATATTGTAGGCTTGTCTTTGTCATGTTGGCTTCCTGATGTGGTTTCCTGCTTTACCCCTCTGATTAATTTCGTGCCAAGGGTGGTGGTTTATTTCTGCTGCTGTTTTTGGAATTGTGGTCATTTTTATCTCTGTCTAGAATAGCTCTCAGTACTCTCTGTTGGTTTGGTGGTCATGAATTTCTTAAGTTGTTTTTTTTTTTCACAGAAGTGTCTTATTTTTCCATTAATTTTGAAAGATAGTTTTTCAGGACACAACAATTTGGGCTGGAAGTTGTTTTCTTTCTGAATTTGAAATACTTCATTCCAAGTTCATGACTGGATGGTTTGTGTTGAGGAATCTGTCATGATACTGATAAACTTTGCTTTATAGGTGATCCATTTTTTTTTCTCTAACAGCTTTTAATATTTTGCTCTGGTGCTGAATTTCTGGGGTCTTGATTATTACATCTGGGTATATATTTATTTTGGTCATGGCTGGTTGTAGTTCTATATACCTCAATTATCTGTATGTCAGATTCTTTTCTTATGCTTTGGAAATTTTCTATTATTTCTGCAAAAAATATGTTTATGTCATTTGTGTCAATTTGTGCCTTTTTCGTTGATGCCTATCAGACATATTGTTTTCCTTTGCATGGTCTCATAGCTGTTGAATTGTTATTTCCTGGCTCCTTGTTTTTTTTAAGAGATCTTTTCTTTCATGATTGCTAGCTACAATCCTATCTTCAAGGTCTGAAGGTCTATTTTTGCTTTGTTCAAATGGTTTTGCCAGCTTTTAATGAAATTTTAAATTTCCTAAATATGTCTTTGGGTCTGTTTCATGCATTCTGATTCTTTCTCAAATTGATCATTCTAGGTTTCCATTATTTTCCTATACTCCTCTGTTTTTTATCTATCTTCTCTAGATATGCTCAGCAATTCTTTCATTATGGTTGTCATTTCTTTTTTTACCTGAGAGATTATTTTTGATCTGATTTCCTCTACAGCCTCATGGAGTTGTTTCTTTACTTTGGTTGCTATCGTTTTCTGAAATTCCAGACTTTTGACTTCCAGTTTCTTCTATGTAAGTGTGCCCAAGACTTATTCTGTGTGGGCTGAAGGTTTGAAATCATACTTTGCTCCTTCATCTTGACATTTTTATTTTTAAAAATTTTTATTTTGTTTTCTGTGATGATATTTGTGAGTTTTGGTGGTAGGTATCAATATCAATGGTATCAAGGCCTCTCTCGGAAAACCAGTTCTTCAGGGATATCTTGTGTGTGTGGAAGATTCTTGGTTTATGTAGATCCCAAGACTCTACCTTCCCAATTAATTGAGGGTGGAATGTTGATTTCTTTTTGGTTCAGTTCCCAGTCTTTTGGCTTAGGGCTGTAGTGAGATTGTTACCCCAGAGCTTCCCAATATTGTTACACAAAGGAGAACAACTGACTACACTGGCTATAACATCCTAGCTACAGTAATACAATTAGCAACAATGATAGCATCAAACATAATTCAGAAACTGATAAATTGTGATAACTATTGAACTGTACTTTAGACCACAGGATCAAAGTCTATAATCATATAACAGAACCAATAATACATTGGGATTTGTATGCAAAGTGTTTCCCCCCTTGTTAGCGTGGATTTACACTGGGTTCACCTGGATGAGCCGGTTGGCAAGTTCTGTGCATTTCCCAAATTGGTCACCCATCTCACTGTGTAGGGAAATGGGCCAGTCACCTGGGTTTCTCTTGGCCAAGATTCCCAGGATGGCAGAGAGGCAATGGGCAAGGTTTCTCTCCTCCTGCACTGTTTACCGAGGTTCCCATGGCGGAAGAGAGGTGATGGGTGGGTATGTAGGGCTTTTTAAATGTGATTGGATCTAGGGTATTTGAACATGGATTAAAGGTGATAACTAAATTAGGCCACTGATTGGTTTAGCATAATTCTGGGTCTGGATAATGGGAGGGCTCACCTGGGGTGTGAGTAGTGGCATCCAATAGGCTTGTAGCCTGGATGGAATAAGAGGGAAAAGGAGGCTCAGTGGTGCAATTGTTGTCTCTTGCCTGCCTTCCCATGGACTGTTTCTTTTTTCTTTTCTTTTCTTTTTAAAAAAAATATGGAACACTTCTCCATATTTGCATGTCATCCTTGCACAGGGACCATGCTAATCTCCTCTGTATCATTCCAGTTTTAGTGTATGTGCTGCTGGAGTGAGCCCCTGTACTGTGTCTCACTGCCTTGGAGCCAGCTGACTCTGAACTGAAATCTCTACAAAGTATGAGCTAAAATAAACTTTTCCTCTTTTAACTTGTGAGTGTCAGGTATTTTGTCCCAACAACAAGAAATTGATTAAGACAGTTGTGAATGCACTTGGAAGCTTAAATAATTTACTTAAAAGTATGAACATGCAAGAAGTATGTTTATTTATGTGATTAATATAATAAATCATTACAAAGCTAGTGGATGAAAGCAACAGAAATCTTTTCTCTTAGAGTTCTGGAGACCTGAGTGTGAAATTAAGATGTCAGCAGGCCTCCCTCCCTCCAAGCTCAAGAGGGGACCCTTTCTTGTTTCCAATGGCCACCAGCATTCTTTAGTTTGAGGTCCCTGCATTACTGCTATGCCTCTATCTTTGCTTCACTGTATCTTCTGCGTGTGACCCTCTCATGACTCCCTCTGCCTCTGGCCTATAAGAAAATGTATGACTATATTTAGGTCCCATCCAGAAAACCCAGAATAAAATTCTCATCACAGCATTCTGAAATAAGTTATATCTTTTTCCATATAACATTCAGATTCCAGGGAATACTAGTGGTACCTTTTGAAAAACCATTCCTGGGCTGCTACATGTGGCTTAGATGCAGTTAAATTCAGGTCCCCAGGCCAACTCCTCTTCACTTCCTATCATATCTGTCCAGTCTTCAGCCACAGCAAGTCTTATGCACCTAGAGCAAAAAATCCCTTGGCATAGCAGCATGTGTATGGGAAAATCAACTAACCTGTGGACTTGGCCAAACTACTAGAACTTCTGGTAGATCTGCTTCATAGATGAGGGCCTGGCCTAGGTCCTATAGGCTCCTGTTCCTAGTGGCAGACTGATGAGGCTTATTTCTGAAAGGTACTCCAGGATTCAGGCTGAAGGGAATTCTAAAAGGGGGAGGGGCCTGTTCAACCTTTTCCCCCAGGTTGTGTAGAACTTGGACTTTATTTTTTTGTAGCTTGTACTTAAGCATCTCCATTCAGAGTTGGACACTGGGGAATCTGGCTGCAGCAGGGCCAGCTGGGAAGCTGGGATTCCATAGACCTGTGCTGCAAGCCACTGAGGACCAGTGTAGTGCTCAGCAGGCAGCCCAGAGGACAAGGCACCTCAGCCGAAGCAGGACAGGTGCTGGGTCTCCTGGGGACAGAGGGATAGGTAGTCAGCCAGAACTCCTGGGGAAGGAAGAGCAGGGAGCTGGGGGGCAGCAGCTGTGTTCACTGCCTGCCTTCCCTGAAGCTGAACAAATAGCTTTCTCCTCTCTGCTGGACATTTTCTGGGAGAACCAGACATGGGAGGGGGAGGGAAAGGTACCCCGGGGGTGAATTAACAAGTAGGGAAGGCTGGGGTGTGCAGGTGAAGGACTTCTCTGCCACTAGAAGTCATGAGTCTGGGCACACAGCCTCTACATCCTCCCATTCTCAGAAGCAGCTGTCCACCCCTCCCAAGCCCCACCCTGTACCCTCCCCACACCACCACCCCTCTGCAAGGCCTGCCCCAGTGGGGTGATGAGCTGCTGCTTTGCTGGGCCTCACTCTGTGCCTCTGCATCTGTGGTGTGCATACCACTCAGCTGGTTTCTCACAGTCTTTGCTTCATCATCCAGAGAAGATTCCTCACTCTTACCTTGATCCCTTGGGTACCTGTCCCTGAACCTCCATCCTAGAAATCTGAGGCCTGTGACCCTCCACAGAGTCTTTTGATGGCAGGCTCTGCACGAAGGGTGAGAGAACCAGTCAGGAAGTGCACAGGAGCCAGACATCTCTATGGTCCACAAAGCTGAGGGAGGCTTTGACCAACCCCAAGCCTAATCTATGTGTGAGGATGGTAGAGGCCAGGGCAGTTATGGCTTTTTTTCAGGTCCAAGGTCCAGTCTGATGTTTGACATCAATAGGATCCAATCTGATGCTCAACATCACAGGTTGCAAAAGTTCAGCCCTGTCCTCACTGCCTTTGATCTTTCTCATCTGAAGATCTCTTAATTGTTCACTTTCAGAATAACCTTCTCCTCCTGCTCCCAAAGCAGTAAGAGCACAATCCATTTGCCGTCACCATGAGGGCTGTGCCTGTTTTTGGTTTTTGTTGTTTTGTTTGTCTTTTTGGAATAGGGTCTCACTATGTAGTTTGGGCTGTCCTTGATCTCACTTTGTAGCCCAGGCTGGTCTCAAACTCTTAGAGATCTTCCTGCTTCAACCTCTTGAGTTCTGGGATTACAAGCATACCTGGCTTGTTTTTGAATGCCTAGTTTTTGTAAGGTGCCTGGCTATGTCTGGAATTCTCCATGACAAGTCCTTGGGAAGAGGCATATTTAAAACCTGGGCTTTGAAGAGTTAAGATGAGCACTTGGCAAGTACAAGTGAGTCATTCTTTCTGCTCTATAAATGATCCAAATATGAATTTGAAATGAACTTAAAATCTAAGGTGGGGGTGGTACGCAACCTGTGGGAACATCTGCTAGCTAAGGTTTGGGGACTGATGGAGGTTGGGCAAAAGGGGCTTCCACTCTGCAAAGCATCCTCCAGGTAGCTGGCACCTCTGCCATTGGAGTCATACAGCAGGTGTCAGGAAGACAGGCAGGAGCCACAATCCTCAACACCCACCCAGCAGAGGCACTTGGGATCCATTTTAGGACCTGTGCCTGAGAGTGGGTAGAGGTTTTCAGTAGTCAGTTGTGGGAACTGGCCCTGAGTGAGGCCAAAGAGACTTTTTATCATGTTGAAATCAGCTGACCATTCTCATCCCAGTTCTCCCAGGCACTTGAGGGTTGTTTCTGGATTTAGGACAATCTAACTGGGTATAAGATAATACAGAGAGATTATTTCTGTTCTGGTTAGTTCAAGATCTCTGCATTCCTGTATCTTCTTAGCTGGTGACACTGAGAGCAACTGAGGCTAATTCCTTAGGGGAAGGCAAGAGGATACAGTCTAACCTAGTGTGTCCATACTCAGCTTTAGATTCAGAGTTTTAAAAGTCTATGGTGTCCAAGTAAAACCCTGGATACCAGATAGATTATAGATAGATAGATAGATAGATAGATAGATAGATAGATAGATAGATGATAGATAGATAGATAGATCAATAGATAGATATAATAGACAGATAGATGAGAGAGAGGGAGGGAGAGAGACTGAAAGGTAGAGAAAACAAAGAAAACTACTTGGGGACTGCAGGGCCCAATAAACAATACCCAAGGACAGTGCCCTGAATTTCTATGGCCTTTTATGACCTAGACTTAGAGCTGAAGAGGCCAAAAACCTGGAAACATCAAAGACATGGACAAAAAAATCCTTCCTCCTCCCCAAAACAACCCAAAACTTCACTAACCAAAAGCACCAGGGAAAGGGCAGGTTAAGAGGATGAAGCTGGTAGACATTGGCCACTCTATTCCAGTCAAATACTGGAATATGTCAGCCCCAACCCATACCAGCCAAGGCAGAGTGGGAAACCTCGACCTCTTCTCTTCCCAGGTGCCACTGAGGATGGTTTCAAAGAAGATTCAGTAGGCAGCTGTGGATGAAAAGTTTATAAAGTGGACAGAGTTCATAGATACACTATGTTGAGTATTCCAATCCTTGAGCATGATATTTCTCTCTACTTATTTAGAGCTCTGATATTTTTTCTACAAGTCTTTTGTAGTTTTTACCATGTAAATTTTATACATGTATTTCAGTGTATGAAAGCTATAGTAAATGGTGTACTTTAAAATTTGGGGACCATGTATTCACAGAGAGGATGTGGAAACACAATTGAGTTTTGGGGGTTTGTTTCACACCCTGTACTCCTGATGAATGCACTTTATGGGAAAATTTTTTGTTTTGGTAGATTGTTTAGGATTTTATAAATGTACAGTCATATCATTTGACCTGTATGTCTTTTAATTCTCTTTCTTACCTTATTGCAATGCCATAACAATCAGCACTCTGTGAAATGAGACTAAAGAGAACATCCTACTTTTGTTCCCAATTTAGTAGGGAAAGTATTTGGCTTTTCACTGTTAAGTATATTCACTGAAGGCTTTTGTCCATGTTCTTTTTCCAGTTGAAGAACTTCTTCTCTATCCCTAATTTTCTGAGAGGTATTTTTATGTGAGAGAATACTACGTTTTTGTCAAATGCTTTTCCTGCATCAATTGCTATAGTCATATTATTTTTCTTTTTTAACCTGTTAATAAAATGAATTACATCAATTGATTTCTAAATGTTGAACCAGTCTAGAATAAAACCTACCTGATCATGTTATAGAATTCTATTAAATTAATACTGAATTATATTTAATGTTTTGTTAAAGATTTGCATCTATAGACATCAGGAATATTGGTACATAGTTTTTTTCTTTTTTGTATTTTTTTTGGCTTTGGTATCACAATAATACTGATTTCAAGGGCTGGGGATTTAGCTCAGCAGCATAAGCGCCTGCCTTGCAAGTGTGTGGTCATGATTTCAACCCCCGGTACCAACAAAAATAAATAAATACTGGTTTCATTAAGTGAATTAGAAAATATTAACAATTAGGAAGTGATTTTGTTTACTGGTTTTAATTCTTCTAAAATTTAGTAGCAGTCAGGATGGTGGCACACTACTGTAAACCCAGCTACTTGGAAGGCTGAAACAAATGGATTGTGAGCTCAAGCCCTGCAGGAAAAATGGTAAGATCTTATCTAAAAAGAAAAAAAAAGCATTTTTATAAAATTCTTCAATGAAACCTGGTTCATATTGGGTGAATTCTTGTACCTTACTTTTATTGTTTTGCTTTGTTTTTTAAACTATCTCTCCATTTAAACTAAGTTTTCAAATCTATGTGAGTAGAGTTAAGAGTCTTACCCTTTTTGCTTACTATCTTTGCAGTGTCTACAGAGTTAGTGGAGGTAGACGTTGCTTCATTCTGATACTGATGTGTGTCTTCATCTTTTTTCTTGGTTGTTTTTTCTTGAAGTCAGTCTTACTGACCTTTTCCCAGAACCAG